TTGCTGGCTGTAGCAGCGCTATAGCGCTGCTATAGCGCTGCACAGCAAAAACGCATAAAAAACCGATCGGATTTCATGCAAAAAACTAATAATCATAGAGGTGGAGGTCCATGCGGCTTTAACCGATGCCCTTTCCCCTGCGTGTCGGAAAAGGCCAAAACACGGGCAATATGAGCTCGAGTGTTAGGCCATAATGCATGAATCATTCCTGCTTTTAATGATCTGCAAGTTTAGTGCAAAAACGCATGATCGCGTTAGCAAACCTGGTGCGTTCCAGCTTGGGTGCCACTTTTGTTTGAAGTTCAAGATGTATTTAAAACGCCTAGCTTTTTAGTTTGATTGATTGCTCCCCTCACGATTCCTGTTTCCATTTTGAATGCTTACTTTGTTTTTTAAGTGCGACCAAACTTATTTCCATGCAGTTTCATTTGTATGTTTGCAGCTTAAGCAGGGGACGAAGATATCGCTCGTACAGTAATATTCAAGATACGCTCGCCTATTACGGAGAGGAATGGCCGCGCCACCAGCCCCTCCTCCTCCACCCCCTATACAATCTACCGTATGTTTTCGTTTTTGCTCCTTTTTGTACAAAAATTCAAACTTGCCCTGAGATAACTTTTGCATACAGAAAAAATGTTCAACAAAGTTATTCTGTCATCCGCACTTTCTTCGTAAGTATTGTACTATATCTCAGAGCACTGATTTCTCTTAAGGCAACTTTGAAAATGTTTCAGTCGTCGCTTCTATCATCTAGCTGGCGGTCATCAACCGATAGTAACCGACAAGCACGTTCTACCATATCTCGTTCGTCTTTTTTCTATTTTTTTCACTACTCAAAGCAGTATTATTTGCGAACAAACTGAGATGCTATCTTTCAACTATTTTAGAAATTACTTGTTTCCAATTGTTAATTTCAGCGTCGCCCAAGCCCGCCGCTCCCTGGTTGGACGCTAAGACACTACAGGTACGTTTTCTGCTCTGGAGATTCTAGAGGCCATTTAGTCACTTAGTAACTATGATAAAAAGAAAACAGCTTTATCTGATTGTCCTACAGCGTTCGGCAATTTCAGCTAGACATCACCATCAGTGCAGCAGTTAGCTACTGAAGAATAAAATCGTGAAGCTACTGCTTTCAAGAGGTTTTCAGGAATGATGAATCTTTAACCAGCCAATAGCATAAATTCTTGTTAAGGTGTTCTTTCTAAGATAAAAGTAAAACGGGACAGTGCTTCCATCCTACTTCTATGGTGTTGTTATTTTACATGTCTTCAGTTGAGGATTTAGATAACTAAATGCTTAAATTTTTTTGAATTCGAAATGAATATAAGTGCATTCAGTAAATCCTAAATTGTGCTAAATTATAGTGAATTATTCATTGACTTGTAGTACGTTGAAAAATTAGGAACGGATTTGCAGAGTCTGGCACGTCTTTGGTTTGTGACTTAAGACGGTACAAAGCAGAGATGCTTTTGTCTATGCATCTTTTAATACAAAGAAGCTTAGGTATAGCGCATGCAAATTGAGCAGATAACGCCGGGAGGGAAGTCGATCTTGGCTAGTCAGTTGGCAGACCGTTCGTTGAGCCGATTGCTGATAACGTTTAACAGCAATTAACGCTCGATCGTAATTAGGAAAACTGGTCTGTCGATCGGTAGTAGGGTCCGGTATTGGTTTTTGTTAGTAGGGTCTGCATCGAACAGCAGAGTAATAACACTGACAGAAATGATGTCGGCAAGAAGTAGAAAGCTGCATCATGAGTCAGGTTTCAGGGGCTTATGGAAATTTAAAAACAGCTAATTATTGTTGGGTTAGAAGGTGTAGAATCGCGGCTAATAAATACCGAAAAAAAGGAAAAATCTGGAATCAAAGAACTGACTCTTCAGTGCGCACAAGTTTATTGGCTAAGTGAACTGCATTCTAATTGGAGATTTATCAGACTCCAGTGACGCATTTTCCGTTGCTGAAGTTCTTTGATGGAAGAATTACATTTTTCCAGTTTTTATGCGTTTTTGATGGAAATGCAAATTGTGACGGCCCATGGTGTGCGTGTGTATGTTTGTGTGTGCATGTGTACGTATTTATGTGTCTATCTGTCCAGGTATTTCAACTCGGCAAATAAGCAAGCATCAGAGCTGAAATTTTGCCAGTGGGTTTCCCGGTCAAATTTCACCCCAGGATCGCTGCATCGCCTGGGCCTCGCGTACGAGCACATGAAAGTTTTGGCGAGGATATGCTAACTTTCAAACCAAGAAAGCTGGGAGACTGAATTTTTAAAGGGGTGTTCCCAGCCCATATACAGCTTCAAGATTTAAAATTCAGCCCCTAGTTGAGCGTGGTTTTCACATTACTTCACATGAAAATTTTTGGAGGAAAAATTGCTAACTCGGGAACCGGAAAAGAGCTGAAAAGCTAAGATTTTAACGGAATGTATACTGTCCAAGTAACATGTAGTTGCACAACTTTCTGGGCTTTGCGGACCAGTATGTTACAAATTTTAACTATCAAGCGAATTGAATACACCACGAAATACTGCAAAAACGCATAATCGCGCTGGCACGCCTTGTGCGCGTTGCCAGTGATTCGAAATGATGGCTTTCACCTTCCTATCAGTAGCTTTCTTCTAATAGTCCATTCAAAATTTTGTGTGAATGTAGCACGCAGCCGCTGGCTTACGCAAGACCGAGCACGACCGATCGCTACGGCGTGACTTCGAGGATCTATCCAATGGACGATTGGACAGAACGGATCAACAATTGTCTGGACGATATCGGGCGGACGGCTCGTTCGATGTGCCGGTGGAGGCAAATCAAGCCCGAGCACCGGTAAGCCAATTATTCAGTTATTAGACTTGCGACAGCATTGATCACCGCCGTTTTCGTCCTGGGAACAAAACCGATTCCGTTAGTAAAGCATTCTTGCACTGGAACAATACGCTAATAAACGTATGAAAAGCGCAATTTACTAGTGATCCGACTCCTACAGGTACCTCTTTAAAGTGCTAATGATTTCTGACCGCTGTGGACTTTAACAAAGTGTAATTATTTAGTTAAACATGACTTTCGATCCGAGCATCGGTGCATGCCGGCCGCAGAATCCCATAGAAAACCATGTCACAGTACGATAAAAATCAAACACATTTCCGGACACTTCTTAAGTACTCCATAAGCTTAGCGCAAGTAAGCTGCCTCTCTTGATTTTGGCGGTGTTGCCTTGTTTTTTTGTATCTCGGGTAATGTTTTTTTTTTTTTTTCTGCAAAAATTATGCAAGATAGTGAGGGATTATAACACGTGTCAGGTTGCCTAGATCGAGCTAAAATCAATTTTCTGTAGCGCTTTTTTTGAGATCGCCACAAGAGAATATTTGGCGCAATTGCAAATCGTACTATAGAGAGTTCTATGTATGGATGAAACCAGTGTAACTGTGGTCTGGTTCTGGAGAAGCAGCGGACATAATATAGGAATGAAAAAAACGTAAATCAATGGACAAAAAAAAGTTATACGCAAAAAATGTGCGCAAAAAATGAGCGAAGAAGAGATTATGAGCATTTCAGCTTCATGCTCCGTCCGATGATACCCGTGACGCTTTGCCGATCGGCAACCTTCATCGATACTCCAATTCGGTTTGCTTTTTTTTTCACTGCTTAAATTATCGTTGCTGCATATCGCTGTGCTGTTGAAGTTTCTCCAAATTACATAATGAGCTAGTAAATCAAACCGCAAAAAAAAGGTTGTAAGTGTACAAGTGCGACCGCATGCTGGCTGTTTAGGAGCAACGTCATATATTAAAAAGGCTCGCAACTAAGCGCAGCGCCAACAAGCTGCTCTAGCAGAAAAAAACTCTCACGTGAGTATAATTTTACAAAAATGAGACAACTGTACAGTATCTCGAATCGTGAAAAAAAAGCAAAAGTTCGATGTTAATATCACTACTGCCAATGGTTTCCAGTTGAGTTCGATGCTGATATCACTGCTGCTGCTGGCTTTTTTATTTTCCACTGTCCCAGTGAGCATCTGTTTGTCTGATAACATGTTTTTTGTTAATAACAAGATCTTCCTGTTGTGTTGTAAAGCTGAGGTGCATGAGCACATGGCGCCGACAGTTCTGTGTAAAGCCGCTTACCCCACTGTCTGTTTGTTCTACAATCTTTCCATTCATCCTTATTTTCGTGTGGCCGCCAAAATAGATTCATAGAGGAACAGTTTTCTTTTGCGCATCTTCACTATTTACTTCGTTTGAACTGTAGCTGTTGTCCTTCTGCAGCTGCAGTCTTCGAGCTCTTTTTTTAATCTTCATCTGACAAGTTTGCACAGAATAGTATTTAGGTCTCGCTTTTTCCGTTGCTCCTCTTCATTCATACTTTTGTAGATGCAAAAATGCTCGGATTTTAGTTCACCAGTTCACGGAGTTATACTCAGACTTTTGCTTTTCTTCTTCCTCGATTTGATTAGCCTTTTTACACAGGCTCTTCGCTACTGATACTAACTATTCAGCAGCTGAAATAATGTGCACTTTAATCTACAGTATGCAGCTGCCGCTTCTTATCAAAAGATAGCACCAAGGAGTGATTCTTTGGAAATATACCAAACAATAACTGAGACAACTTCAATTTCATCCTTCATTTTTGCTTCTGACGTAAGCCTGTCTATCTTATAAGCTCGAGAACCGAGCATTTATCTTTTGGCAGTACTTGCTATTTGGGTAACTTTTTCCGACTCCACAAGTGAATTTCGTATGTAGCAGCTGTGTTGGGAAAATAGGCGTTAAATCAGTGTATCTCTTTTTTTTTTTTTTGTTTTACGGATTTTTTAACAATGTTTTCAAATGCAGCAGCTTTACTTCTCAAGTCACGTCAATTAAAATCAGCACCGCCATCAAGAAATGAACTTGAAAGGTCCAGCTTTTGTTTCAGTTAGCATGCAGTTCCCACACAGCTTAGAAATCAACCTGCTGCAATGAGTGCTTTTTTCAGTTTAGCTAACAGATGTTCAGAAAAACTTGCACATATGTCAGAAATGTTCGTTCCACTGAGTTGTCCTTGAGCGTTCTCTTGTTCGCAGAGCATCGGTTTCAAGAATTCTTTTAGCTTTGCATTTGTTAAGTTTCCTTTCTTACACATTCTTGGCATTTGCATAAATGCATGTACTGACCAGACCTTGTCTGAACGTTTTTACTTATGAGCGTGATTTTATTTATTAGTTCGTGCCACCAGGTAGTAAATCCCTCCCGTACTTATCAGCGAAATGGAGTATGCAACTGTCCAAATTAATCCGTGAGATTCGGAAAATTAAATGTGCAATTACGTATTACTTGGACAGAGAATATTCCTTAAATTTTCAGCTTTACAACTTTTCTCGAGTTAGCAGATTTCCCGCCAAAAAGAAAATTTTTGTATGCAAAATTTACAATGATTTATGGTAGTTGGCGCACAGAGTAGGTTTGAAGCAACAATCATTTATGCAGTTAACGACCTGAGTACTTCAAGTCTGGTGCAAAAACATATGAGCACACCGGCAAGTCTGATGCATTTCAGCCTAAGTTAGTTCTGAAATAATTGCAAAAAACGCATACATGTTTGTATGTGTGGTGTGTGTGTTTGTATGTCATTATTTGTCTTTCGAGTGTATTTTATTCCGCGAGTTTCAACTCGGAAACAGAGAAGCTAGGAAGCTGAACTTTTAAGAAGGACTCTCTCTCTCCTTGCTATCTTGCAAACTCAAACCCAGAGTTTGCGCGCGCCTAGGTCCCACGTATGGACAAGTGAATGTTTTGGCACCAAAACTGATAACCCGGGAATTGCAAAAGCTAGGAGACTGGAATAAGCGAGTGTTTCCTTTACGGGCACGCGAAAGTTTTGGCGCGAAAACTTGCTGATTTGGAAGTCAGAAAAGCTATGAATTTGAGATTTCAGCCCGTGTCTAAATTTGTCTCCGCGCACGGCTAGGTCTTATGTACAGAAATGTGAAACTTTGTTGCTAAAATCAACAATTCGTTAACCACAAAAGCTTCCGTACATCTCAAACAGTAACATAGTGGACGCATTTGACAACAAAGTTCCCTTAGACAGAATTGATAAAATGTCGGCTAAAGTAAGCTACACAAGCGTTCGCTGGACATGGTTGCACAAGACGCATGATCGTACCAGTTATCTTGGTGCATGCCGATATTCATTTTTTATGCATTTTTGCTGTGCAGCCAGCAAAAACGCATATTGTCGAGAGGCTGTCTGTGTGTGTGTGCGTGTGTG